CCCCCCCCCCCCCCCCCCCACCCCTGCCCCCCAGCTTCGAGCCCAGCCCCTCTGAGCCGTGCACCCCCCGACCCAGAGCCCAGCTCCCCACTTAGCCCTGGGCAACAGCAGTGCCACCCCCAGGCAGTGACAGCCCATTGGCACCAACCATCACCATTACCCAGCGACAGCCCATTATGTAATTGCAAATGTATACATACCATTAAAGCATTTAATGTTTTTAAATAATGTATTTCGTGTATTTTCAAATTATTAAAAATTAATTTTTGAACATATTTCACTGGTTATTTTTTACATTTCCAAATACATGTTACTATAGTATTGCAACTTTTTTTTATGGAAGGGGCTTTGCCTCAGGCCCCCTGAATCCTCTGGGCGACCCTGCTCCTGTGTGTCACAGGCCATCAGTACCCGCACACTAAACTTATCAACCAAAATTAGACCATATGCCTCTCTGGTTCCTTCTCCTTTCAGCACTGGGGACCCAGGGCCTGCTCCCTGCAGATGGAGCATGTGCTTCCTCCCCTGTTGCATAGAAACCGTAGTGGGGTGGGTGAATGACCATCATCAGTTCAGATGGTAGGGTACAATATAAGCTCCAGAGATTTTCCCTGAGAGGATGCCTCCTGTCCTTCAGCAGGCCACACACCTTAATTAATATACAGCTACACTAATACCAAGTGGAGAGAATGCAAGCAGCTGCAGTTTGGGGAGGGGACGCATGCCCTCTGCTTCCAGCATTGTCATCCCTGTGCTTAGCAAATCTAACCGTCACAGTGTGCATGGGGGAGAATGGACAGAATGGAAGCAACATTTTGCACGATTTTGTATTGCTATAAAACTCCATAAGGAAACAAAATATTCAGGAATCACCTTTAATTTATGTTATGAGGAAGCAGGCAGAGCTTATCTTTAAATCTTTTACCTTTACTAAGACAGTTACAAAGATGACTATGAAAGAGTCCTGTCTATGTTTGATTCATACGTTATATCTCAGAGAAATGTGGTTTATGAAAGCACCTTTTCACCAGAGAATTCAGGAACCAAGAGAAAATGTGTATAAGAGCTAACTATGCATTGTCAGAAAACTGATTTTTGGGAGTGCAAAACATGAAAATATTAGAGATATGCTAAAATAGGTCTTGCAGACAAGAACCTTCATAGCAACTACATTTGAATACAGACTTAATCCTAATCACAGCTATCCAGACTGAACTGAAACAGCAAAACAAACTCAATAAACCTGAAAAACAAGAAACTAGCTTAGAAGCTGTAAACAGATTCACTTTGAGTGCTAAAAATCATAACCATAAAAGCCATGAGGAAATTCCAGGCAAACTTCAAAGCCTTTCAGAATAAATGTACAAGATGTGGAAAATTTCATAGCTCTAGAGATGTGTCTAGCTAAAGATGAAATATGTAATAAATGCACAAAATATAGACAATTTGCAGCTGTTTGCTGCAGTGCTGCACTAAGGCAGTGGGAGTGCTAACTACAATTCTAAACAATCAAGAGCCATTGTTTCTAGTATCTATCGTGTGATGTCACAGAGTCTGCCTGGAGAATGAAACTGAACATTCATACAGACTATTGACATTAAAATTGAGTCAGGAGCAGATGAGACCATCTCAGAAGGGGCTTACAATCACTGTCAACTCCTTCTAGAGCTGAAGTAACCTGACACAGCTCTGACTAGCCCTGGAGAGCCAGTTCACACAGAAACCACTTACACTCTGAATGCAAAGCTTTTGTCTTTGTATGTGATCAAAGGACCACAGACCAACAGTCTTCTGAACCACTGTGTGGCAGTCATGATGGGCCTAGCGAGAAAGGTGGGAGAACGCGACAAAGGATTTGATTATATTGGAATTTTGAAAGGAGATCCAGTACAAATAACCTTAAGAGACAGTGCTGAACCATACAGAATAACACCACTTCTAAAAGCAGGACTGTGGAAGAGACTAGCTGCAGATTTATGCAAATTCAGAGGACTATGTTTATAGTGGACTATTTTTCCAGGCATGTAGAAATAATGTACGCAAAAGGCATAACATGTTGCAGTGTTATCGAGAAACTCAAAGTACATTTTTGCTCACTTTGGTACTCCTGAACAATTAGTGACAGACTAAAAACCACATTTCACTGCAGTGCAATTTAAGTCATTCCAAATGAAATATGAGCTTGAGCATATTACTAGCAGCCCACATTACCCCCAAGCAAATGGAGAGCTGTACAGACAGCCAAGAAATTCCTACACCAGGAAGATCCATTCCTTGCTCTTCTGAGTTACAGATCAACCACAATAACAGCTACTGGATATAGTCCAGAACAACTTGTGATGGGAAGACAGCCCAGAACTGCTATTCTGACTTAGGTTCTTTTCCAATCTCTAAAGTGGCCAGACAGGAAGAGAGTAGCCAAATTGGATAAAAAGGCAAAAAGAGCTTACGAACACTTTTATAACAGACATTACGAAGTTAGAAAATGGCTCGGCATAGAACCCTGATGACCATATTTGTGTCAAACTGGATAGAAAAAAAGGATGGAAAACTCCACCAGCCATTAAAAAAAAAAAAAAAAAAAGAATTCATTGCCTAAATAATGTGGGATCAAGACCAATAGTGTAGAATTCAACAAACCATCAACATCTACAGTTTGATCCTCATAAAGAACAATCAGCAGAGCAAACTGTACAGATGAGGGATGCAAAACTACAACAAGAAGACTCAAAGACTCCAAACTGACCGGAAACAGTCATTGCAACTAATAGTCAGATGACCAAAGTTGTCATGTAATTAAAAAACAATGTGATTCAGAGACACCTAACAGACTGTTAATGTACTGAACTTTAAAGATAGAATGATAGTGTAAATATTGTAAAATTCTGAAAATGGTGGGAAAATAAAATTTAAAAGGGGAGATGTAATGGAAAGCTAAACTGTATTATATTGTTCAACCACTAGGTGGAGCCATATGTAACATGCCTTATCTGAACATACAACACATCTCTGTGGGAAGGAAGCCCTGTAGCCAGTCCCTATCTGGTATAGAAGGCTGACCTGCTCTTGGCAGCCCTGCAACCTACCGCGTACATGACACTGTCCTTGTTGGAAGAAGCTAATCCCAGAGCCATCAAGGGATGATTTAATGGAAACTTATGTAAACCGACCTCTAAGAGTAGGGTTATTGTGGTATAATTTGAAATATATCTGAGGGTCACCTGATCCCAAAACCACCAACCAAGATTTAGTAATGGTCCATCATTATGGTGGTGTAATTTACCTGGCAGGAGAGAGTTGGGAGTGTTGGGGGTGTATGTGTTTTACAGTGTGATAAAAGGTTATTTTATGGTAGCCAAGATAATACAACTGGTTGTCAAAAATAACATCATTATCATCATGGGGGGTTTATTTAAACTGGAACAAATGGAACTGGATTCCACCTTCCTACAATAACATTAAATAGATGAAGAATATATATATATATATAATGGTTCAAATACACACACACACACACAAAGTATACTTAACGAAATATAACCCTCTCTCTGTAAGCACAGGCTATTATCTTATAGGTTCCCCTTTCCCTTTCTGTCTCTTCCGCCTGGCTAGTCCGTGCTGTGCGTTTATCTCCTGGCTGATCCTGCTGGAAGGGTCGTCAGTCTTCTTTCACAGGCCACTCTCTAGATAGGGGTAGGGCTGTTATTGGGGCAGAACGAAGGCCATTGGTGCCTCTTGACAGAGAGCTGGGTGTACCACCCAGGTCACTGAGGTTGCTGCAGCACAGAGAAGGCTGCAGGCTTAATTGGAGCCAATTAACCTTTTGCTAGTGCAGATGACTGATACTTGGTGGCCAAAGAGTTAAAGGTGTTGACATGACCCTGTCACTGTCCAGCATTAAACAAGCAAGGTTCAAGGCTTGCTGTACAGCGACCTCAGCTTGTTTAGTACCGTGGCAACGACACCATTAAAAATCCTTTTTAACCTTTTATTAAAGATACAACAAAGAAGCAAAAACAGTAAAAGCATTTGAAATGTAAGACTTACATTTTAACAACAAAAATTCTAGATGTTGAACAACTCTGGATAACTAAACCTCTACCCCAATATAACGCAACCAGATATAACATGAATTTGGATATAACGCGGTAAAGCAGCACTCCGGGGGGCGAGGGACGGGGCTGCGCACTCCGGCGGATCAAAGCAAGTTCAAAATAATGCAGTTTCACCTATAACATGGTACGTTTTTTTGGCTCCCGAGGACAGCGTTATATCGGGGTAGAGGTGTATTTGTAAAAATCAGGCTTTTGGGGGGAACAATTTGCAAATGGAAAAAAGGGCTAAATTAGGCAAATAAATTGTTTGCAACTCATAATTCTGTCAGCTGTGTGGCTACAATACAGGGTTGGCTTCTGTCCACCCTGGTGTAAGCACATGGCTCAGTATGCCTGTTGAATGCAGTTGTAAGCCCTTAGGGAGGGGTGGTCAGGTTGGAAAGTTCCTGTCTCTGATGTGGCTACATCCAAATACAAAGCAAATCTGCAACTATTTTGAGAAGATAATCTAAATGTAGCTAAAAGCTTAATAGGGAAGATTTTCCTGGCGAGCCACACCTGTCATTAATGAGGCCATTGCAGGTATGGCTCTCCAGGAAAATCCTACAGTAAAGATTTAAAACACGTGTCACCTTACAGATCTACTAGGCAGGACAGATTGCTAGTTCTGAATTCTGCTGGAGGTACAACATGTTTTAGTTGAAATTGTGATTCTTTACTGCAGCCCATAAATTGTGGCAATTGCACATGATACATTTTGTTTAGGCTACCCCCGGTTCAGCCTCCATCTTGGGCTTTCTTCTTTCTGCCCCTAGCTGGTGCCTTTTTGGTGCTAGTGGTTAAAAGTTTTTGAAAGATGCTCAGTGACAGTTGTAATCTGCCCAGTTACCCAGAAGGTGGGAAATATCAGGTGATCGAAGTGTAAAATCTGCCTTGGAACAAAAGTGCATATAAGGACTCAGCACAGGTTGCTCCGTGCTGTCTGTCCTAGGGGCAGCCAGTGTCTGTGCATCACTGCCATTCGTCGGATCAAGAGAGAGAAGAAGACGACTTACCTGTTCCTAAAGCTCTCCATTCCCATTGGTGGCTCCTGGCTGGTGGCTCCTCTTGGCAGTTCCCGTGTTCCTGGCCCTGTGAGGGTTCGGTTCCTGTGATCCTGGTTCCCTGTCCAGCAGTGTTCCTGGTATCCTGCGCAGATAATGTGGAAGGAAACCTTATTATTGTTGTATGCTGTATGGTGGCCCACTTGTAGGGTAATCTGGGTCTAGGCTTAGGCCTGGTGAGTTAACCTGAGCATAAGACACAGTGTGTAGTGTACTGTGCATAGAGTTTTATTATAAGTTGTGTTGTTAATAAATGTTCCCTGTTTTCATCTTACTAATGTGGTAGAATTATTGCCTAAAGCAGGTGTCTAAGGGTCTAAGGTGGGTTTGTGTAGGGTGGGGGATTACTCAGGAGCCTGGCCTGAGTAAGAGCCATGCGTGCAGCTGTGGGGACCTCCATATCCTCCACCCACCCTGGGTGGGAGGCCCAGGGACATGGGCCTGGGGGGCTGCTCTTGGGTCCCTATACCCCAAGCAGGTGGAGGGGCCCAGGCTCCCCGGCCCAGTTGGAAGGTGGAATGGCGCCTTGGGGGAAAGAGGTGGGCAGGGGAGGGGTTACAGAGGGGGCAGGGCCTCATGCACTCCCCCCCACTACTAGGAAGAATCATAGATCTGGAAGGCACCTTGGGAGGTCAAAATCCATTGCCCCTGGTTGTAGCCCTTCTCCTCCATGCCCCAAGCAATCTGCTCAAAGATGTTGACGTTTCTACAGCTGGAGTGGAGTTGTGCCTAAACAGCCTCTTCTCCCAGAGCAGTCAGGGTGGGGAGTTGTGGGACACCTCCTGGAGGCCATTATCAGTTGCTATAATTAATGCAGTGTCTACACTGATATGGCATTGACCTAACTACAGCGACCTTGACTCTACAAAGCTCAGGGAGATGCTGTTATTAAGTCAGTGTAATGAGGTAGTTACATAGTGGAAGCAAAATGTAAATGCAGATGTATGCACAGCTATGTAAACGTAAGCTGCCTTGCGTCGACTTAACCATGTGGTGTAGGCCAACCTGAGACAGATGTTAGAGCTGGATGAATACCGCAAACCTAAACCGCATTCAAAAGCAAATCTCAGTTCAGCTGTATTTGGACCTGTAAACGTGCGGGATTCACCCCATGCGGCGCCTCCTGCTGGTCATTGGGAATTAGCTCTTTTTCCAGCCTTGAAGCACCCTCTGCAGGCCGGTGTCCCGCTTGCCGCTGGCCCCCATGTCCCTCCCCGGTGCCCTTTTACCTGGGGGCTGCCCCTTGGTAACACCCCCACCAGTCTCTATGGGTCTCCCCTCTCTGGGAAACCCCCAACCCTCTAATCCCCATCTTGCCTCAGTATGGGCTACTGCCAGTCATCACTAAGTCCCTGCTCCCTGGGGCGGACTGCAGTGTAAAAGCCATTCATCATAGGCAAGGGGGTTTGGACCTGCTGCCTTCCTCTGCCTCCCAGTACCTCTATGGGCCTTGGACCAGGCCCTGCAGCCTGGGGAGTTGCCAGCCTGGAGCTCCCCTGCTCCTCCCCAGCCCTGCTTCACTCCCAGTACCCTTTCTACAAGCAGCCAGGCCCTGCTCTCTCCCACCTAGAGAGAGACTCCTCCTGGGCCTCTGGCTCACAGCCTTTTTATACAGGCCAGCTGTGGCCTGATTGGGGCATGCCAGTGGCGTAGCCAGGTGGAGGGAACAGCTGGAGGTATGTAGGACACTACTGTGCTAATAAAGCGATGGTCACATAAATATCACCCTATACCGGAAACCTACTGACCGCTACACTTACCTACATGCCTCCAGCTTCCAT